GGTTACTCCTACTGTTTCATAATTGAAAATGAAAATAAAACGTCAATCTGATGTTTCTGAGTTAGGGCCGTCAAAAAGCGTTATAAGAATTGCATTTGATTAGCAAATCGAAAAAACAGTTGTTCTGAGTGCACCTTTTATATCGACACATGTAGTGCAGTACCGGCGCAAAAATCTATCACCCACGTATTTTATCTTCTTGTTTACTCTTGATTATGACTTTAACCAAAGAGTATATAACACAGACTTGCACTTTCTTTCCCTTAAGAAGTTTTGTAACAGCTTTCCAAACTAGCACCTCCTTGTTACTGACACAAGAATTATTGCAATAATAGCACCGTTTGCTGTTTAAAACAAATGTTTACCTCACGTTATTGTCGTTGTCGTTGTTTGTCATCTCAGGCTGCAACTACACTTTGGCCCAATCCACTGGCTCGTTCCAGTCTCCCAATTATCCAAATTCCTACCCAGCAGGCCAATATTGTTCCTGGAAGATAAAGGTTCCAGAAGGATTGCAGGTAAGTATAACATACCTTCATTGTGCACCCACTGAACATGCGTTAAGTATAGAGATATGATCGAGCTAATAGTTTTTGAACCCATTGAACTACAGGTGGTGTTAAAGTTTCCTAAGTTCTCACTCCAGAAAGGACCAGGCACTGATAATGTTCAACTGTACGACGGGAAAAACGAGACCTCGCCCTCCCTGGGCGTGTACTCAGGTGAAACGAATCCCCCACCCTCAGGAGTCCGTTCCTCATCCAACGAGTTATTTGTCATTTTCAAGACTGATAACAAGAATAACTTTGCTGGATTCCAGGCCTCTTATTCAGCGCAGAAACCAACGCGTGAGTAGAATAGAAGATTTTACGCAGCTTTGCACTTAATTTTAACAATCACGTTGTGTGCAAATTTTGCTCGTAATTGGCTACAAAGTTTCTCAGGAGCCTTGCTTTAATCGTAGTGAGAGGCAGTATGAGGATAAGCGAGTAAGTTCTCAAACGCTGCGGCACGAGCAAAGGCGAAGCTGCGAGAGGCGTCTCACCAACTCGCTTCGCTCGCCGACTTATCTTAGGCAGCTTCGCTTTTACTCTTGTCGCAATGCATTAGAGCTTGCACGCACTGCTAGGTATGACTCCGCTAAAGTTTGTTTTTAGGACGGTTAAAATCCTTTAAAATTGTCGACATAAAACTAAAATAGTTCATTTTGAGATCGACTCATGGACCGAGAGAAATTTTACAAATCCTCAGAGGATAACGTCTAAGCCACTGGGTTCGGTAGATTATATTAAAAGCGTTGCAAAGTTAAGCACTGAATCATACTTTGAGGATGACACAGACGCTTGGTCACGAGAATATGCTTTGCGTTGCTTGACACAAAAGAACTTATTTCCTCTTTAGAACCTCCAACAACTATCAAAACAACGACAATTTTTCGCACAACGAAAGCTACCACACCGTCTGCGCAAACAACGACAGTGGCAAATACACCAGCTGGAACCAAAACAACAGTTAAACCCACTGAAACAACCCAAGCCACCACCACAGTCAAAAGCTCCACAAACCAAGCACAGACAACTAACAAGGGGCAGACAACCCAAACCGCCACTACAGTCAAAAGTACTATAGAAAATGCACAGACAACCCAACCCATTACTGCTTCTACCAGCACGGCAGGAATTACGAAAAGTACTAAAAGTACGACGAAGAAAATCACAACAAAGGAAGTTGAGAGAACCACCACCAACAAAGAAACCGAAGAAAACAGTATTTCATCAACATCAGAGGCAACAGATGGGCCCTCTAAGAAACCTGCCAATCACACAACTGTTTACTCAATGGAAACAACAATCGTCGTAAATACAAGTAAGGTTTTGTGCATGCGTGTTTATTTTAGATCATCAAATAAAAGAAACGTTGTGGCGGCCTTTTGCAACATAGCTGAGGAAGACTTGCTGAACACGATAAAGTAATATTTATATGACCAAGTCATAAGGAAGACCGTGGGGGTTTCATTCCCTCATCAGGCTGGTGCTTAACTCCGTTTTCCTTTAGTTAGTATGAGGACACTGGGATTGTCCTGGCTACGTCCGCTTTATGAGCCGCCGGGTTATCGCAGGGTACTTAGGGTGTCAGAATGCCTTGACCTTAAGCTGGTGCTCATTTATACTCCTGGGGTGACGAGAGGCACCATAAGAGTAAATGCTCAAGAAAACAACACAGCTGCACAGACCTTGCGAACACTGACCGTTCAAGTGGAATTCAACTCGCTAGTTGCCGCGTTTCCTACGTAGCCTTTATAAAAGGCGCGAGAAGAAATGTGCACGTGCTAGCGCGCACCTGACATTCGTTCTCTATTTACGACGGCACCTACGAGCTACACAGGCTAGCTAGTCAGTTCTGTATAAGGACCTATTAGTATCATGCACTTTTCTGCTGAAAAGGACTGGAAAGACCAATGGATGGCAGTGTACCTGTACGCGACGCGTGCCGAGTGAAAACTCCGCTGCCCTTAACAGGTTCTTCTATTATTGCAGAGACAGAGGCTACCAATGAACCAACACACACCAGGCCCACAGAATATAGACCCTCGACAATTGCCCCTCTAAGAAATGAGTCCTCATTTGGGTTTCGTAAAACGGAAGAAGGTGAATCATCCAATGTAGCGTTGATACTAGTTCCAGCGCTTTGTTTCCTGCTTCTGGTATTGTGTCTTTTGATGTTGTTCCTCTATCGCAAGAGGTAAGAACTAAGAATTGTAACCATTAATGATTCGATTTAGCCTCTAAACCAGTTAGCATGTCTTTTCTAGTGAGCACTCCCTGATTAAAGGAGAAGGTCACTCCGAAAAATGTACAGTCGAACCTCCCGTAAGCGGCCACTCAAAATGTGAAGAACAGGTCGTCGTTTTATACGGGAGGTGGTCACTTACGAAAGATTAGACCATATTGGGTTAAAATTTTGCCTCATTAGCATATGATGGCTGCAGAGACTTCCCCCATGTTTTAAACGTTTTATTCATGTATACAGTCAATTTCGAAAAAAAATCTGGTACAAGAAATTTCCGTCTCTCGTACTACCCAGGAATGCGATGTTGCAACTCCTTATAATCCAATTTCCGCTCTATTATCTGTTAAGTGGTGGCTTATGGGAAACAAAAAAAATTCAAACTTTTAGCTCTAAAGGTGGCCGCGGTCGTTACGAGAGGTGGTTGCTTACAAGAGGTTACAAATATAGTGAAGGGGATAATCGGCTGGACAAAATATATACATTTTGCTGGCCTTTGGTTTTGATGCCAAGTCAGTTGCAGGTTTCTATGCTTCCCGCCAATTTCGAGGTGGAAAGAATGACGTCACAAAAATATGGTCTGGCTGCCACCTACAGTTAAAGTGGCTGCCTCCAAAATCGAACTTTAGGTTTCTTTCGAGACGAATTTCTTCAGGATAGTAGGCACTTTAGAGTCTGAAACTTCGGTGAGTGGAAATACCCAATGTTTACTCGCTATAGGTGACCATAGGTGGAGACAAAAAAGTAAGCTTTTTTGGAGTGACCTTGTCCTTTAAAGTCCATTCAACTATCTTTAAGGCTTCACAAATTAGAGCTTAGGTCTGTAGAGATTGAGATTCAGTCTTGAGTGTGCAAGTTTCAAGAGTTCATTTTAATCAAGTTCAAGTTTTGTACTCAGTGGGCAATTCAAAATTGCTAAGACAAAAAGGAATAAACCCACGTCTCCAATAAACGCCTTTCCGAGATAATCGTCCTCACTTGAGCTCACAAAATTAACGCTTTGGACGGTAAGTCGAATCTGACGGTAAGTCGAACCTGAGGTGATCTTTTACTGTCTACTTTACTGCCCGAGAGTAATTTCTCCCTATGTGCTTGGGACACTACTGGTATTTTTCATAGTGGTAACATTCTCATTTGCTGGATTTAAAAACTCATCACCATTCCAATTTTATTTCATGTTAGGAATCAAAGAAGAAAAGATAAACTAGACCGCGAGCAGTTTGTCTACTATGAGAGGTATTGATAGTCCTTTGTAGACTGAGATGAGCATAAAAATTCTCCTTAGCCATTGTCATACATTTACCATAATTCTTAGTGGGAGAATTTGATGTTTTATCACACTTCTCTTCCAAGGTGATCGGGATTTAAATTCCCAAGATCTCTCTATATTTTGAACTTTTAATGACATGGCCAGTAAAGAGACGATAGAACTAGATCAATGCTACAGCTGATTTTTTAAGGCTTAAAAGGCTTAGGTTTCGTCTGTCCTCAGAAAAGTCATTTTATATGTTATTTCATCTCAAACAGCAATCCGAAAGTAGAGTCTGTTGACAACCCTCTGTATGAAAGGTAAGATTTTAACTTTTGTCTTTTTACTTCACACGCAAGATTCTCTGATTTATAGCCGAGACCCCTCTGGTTGGAAATCTCCTTGAACGCACGTCCCGGTAGGACTGCACGTAGCCCTTAGTACGATATACACTAACAGTTACTCAAAGTGAAACCATTGATAATGATTGGTTATGTGGTGATACTAGTCGCACACAAAATGAACCAAATGTGACTAGTAGAATGGAGGGCAAAACCTTTGCGAGAATTTTAAGCCGAAAGAAGTGCACCCTCAATCTCCCTAAGTGTTGAACTTTCTGGTTTACCAAAGTGAACTGTGCGGTTTCACCCAGCCTGAGCTGAGCTGACTTTGATGAAGAGCAAGAAGGAAATTTCGATTGCGAAGTGCAATCGGTTATTTAAAGTTCTCAAAATCATTAACTGTCTTCTTGATGTTTGGAAATGTGGTCAAACACGATCTTTTGTGTTTGATATATTGCGTCATTGTTAATATACCAACGGTATAGATACTAAGAGAAGGTAACAGCATTACTGCTGTTTTCACAATGGTGTAAAGTTCACGAGTGACTCGACGGAAAACCCGCTGTACGATACGTGAGTATATTTGTTGATTTCTTTTTTGGTAGAATGATGAAATCTGACAAACGTTTCTTTCTGTCTCTTATTAAGGGAAAGTGAGTGCGCTGTGAATCCACTGTATTATGCAAAGCGTCAGGTCACTGATTTTTACGCGCAACCGAGCACCCCATCTGAACCGGTGATGACTTTGCAGTTCCAAGATCTGACCGAATATGGGGAAAACCCTCTGTATGCTTTTGTTGCAGCTTCTTCTAACGAAAGGTATGTTGACAATAACACAGAAGTTGACATTTGTTGTATGAAATTCACCTTAATTTGCATCATAGTTTGCATTGAAAAATATGAGAAAATGCTGCCTCGTATTCTAAGAAGCTACTAACAAGACCTAGGAAAAGTCTATAAAGATTGCTCTGATGTAAGGAAGCTAAAAAATCTTACAGATAGTAGCGAAGGAGAAGGAAAATATTTACCTATGTTTTGAAAGCAATATTTCTGTCCCAAAAGAGCTTAATTTAACACCATATTGCTGTCATTATCAGTAGTTTCCCGACGCTAACAAATCGTTCTTTCATCAAATCTGACAATTCTCAACAAGTACGCATGCTAAAATGTTACTCACATTTTATCGGCGCGTCATTACATTATTAGCTCAGCTAGAGGACTAGCTTTAAAAGGATATTTATCCTAAACAAAGCATTTTCTCGAAATGAAAATTCCAGACAGTTTAGTGTTTCTTAAGTATGCAATTTGTAAACAAAAAGCAGCTTTGGACGACTAGTAAACAGTTAAACTTTTGATTCTTTTTTTATTTGGCGAACGCAAAGAACGAATGAAAAACTTCTGAAATTAAAATGGATTCCGTGCCAATGACTTTAATTGGGTTCTCAGTGTACACGACACGTTTCTTCACACTTTTTGTTAGAAAACAACGACGATTTTAATTTGACTTAAACGTTTTCTTTTTCAGAAATTCAATTTTTGTTTTCAAAGCGAAGAATTAAGTCTGGTCTTCTTTCAATCGATCGTTCGAGGTCAAGAGTAATTGTAGAATAATTCGGCGCATGCCTTCGTTGCTTTTGATGTTCATGAGAAGTCACCGTCGCGCAAGATATGGTCCAAAAATTACAGAATCCATCCACGTGAGCTATTGCCCGCGAGAACATGAAGATTAGAGAGTGTGTGTTTAGTTTTTACCTGTTATATGCTTTTATATTACTGTTATATGCTGTTATATTGCAGACCGTTTGCTATCAGTTTTGCTATTGTACTTTATAGTTTAATTACACCACTTTCTATTCACATCAAACACTTTTTTGGGGGTAGAATATAAACATATAGATCCACATGAATATACTTCCTTGAGAGGTAAAAAGTCATTTTTGTTTTATTCCAGCTCTGCCTAAAGATGCCTTTTTGATGCAAGATGATTCACTCTTACTGTGAAAGCGACTTTGACGACTTTGATGTTTCATTTTCTACTCCTTTTATGAACACGAAACAAAACATGGATTTGTCAAATAAGAGAGCCTTTTAGCAAATCACTCGTGTGGTATAATTCACGTCTGTTCTCGAAGTGACAAATCAAATTTCATTTCTGGTCGTTAAAATTTCACCCCTCGTGTAGTTTTCACAACCACAAGTGAATTGCATAATTCCATAAAATAATATGGAAAATAATTCATATTGCTTTTAAGTCATATTTTTGTCGTGACAAAGTATGTGCATTGAATTTTTGAATTTTTCCAAACGTCTTAGCAATTGTGCCGGCATGGCTCGCATAATTTTCGACAGAATTGGTCAATTGGGATGCTTGCAAGCAGTTAACCATTCAGATATTCCAGGGGACTTTTTTAAAATAATCTGAAGTATAAATAAAATAGGTAAGCAATTGAACCATAAAAAAGAACTTAAGATTCTCATAAACTGGCTGTTTTTTTATATTGTAGAAGCCACTGATTTTGAATTTGAAATTCAATGTTATGAAAAATTTAATTCACATGGTTGCTTTTCTCTGTTACTCAGTTTCCGTAAGCCAAAGAAAATAAAAGTATCGGAATCACTGAAAATTTGGCCTTATCACGACAAATTAATTACGTACGTATTTACAAAGCCACATTATAACAGAGATGTGTAATTTTTACAAGCATAACCGGCCGCCAGGTTACGACTAGAATTATTTAAACACGGGCAGCGAGCACACGCGCTGGCAACAACATTGCAGCAATCCTGCAGCAAAACGAAACATTGCGACGGTTTATCAATCGAAATCAAATGATCTAAACAACGTTTTATTTACGACTGAAAATTCAACAAACCTGATATTTAATTTAAAACCTCGAGAAAAGCAGAAGCCGGAATCAAAGTTAGAATTAAAAGTTTTCAAAACTATTTACGCCGATCCAGCCAAATGGCATTGTGGTTGTTCATTTGCAACGTGAATAAAAACATGAATATCTTAATTTATATAATTAAGCATTACGGAAAGCAAATATTGCGTCGAAATAGCACAATTTTCCGGATTTTTTTTAAGTAGTGCAATGCAATTGTTGGTAAAAATACAATTTTTAAACTTCAAGTTAACTCTCCTACCTCACGGGATTCGCTTCCAAACGCTGTTGACCACAAACAGCAGCTTATTACACCGATGTTTCAAGATTTTTTCCCCTCCTCCGCTGGTATCTTTCTTGTTTTATCCTTGTTATTCTGTTCCCAGCCCAAAATCGAGGAAATAATACCAGTTTATGGCGTCTGTTGCCGTTTAAAATCTCGTATTTCAATATTAAAAGCCTAAAACTTTTTCGGCCGTGTCTGTATGCAAATGATTGACGGAGACCCTAATATGGAAGTGGCAAACCGCGTTCAACAGCTGGCTTTTGGCGGGAAAAATAATCAGGCTGTCAAACAAAGATCTGTTTACAAGTTATTAATATCAATTACAAAGAAAACAATTTTAAAACATATTGTTAAATCCCTCACACAAGATATCCCGATTGAAGTCCAAATAACGGAAGAGAACTAAGACCTGCTGAGAATGCGAGATTTCAAACAAAAATTGCGAGAGTTGATGCGAAAAGTTTAATTATTTGAAAGGAAGTGGTCAGTTATTTTATTTTTTATGCCTTCGTAGATGTGCTAGCAAAAATATCGCGCGCAAATTTCTTAAGTTGTGGCTAAGTCACTGAACTGTTTCCGCTCTCTTAAATTGACGGCTGCATCAAATTGTGTAAATCTAATAAAATCGTTTTTGTTAGACGGGGTGGGGGTTATAAGTCGTCGCAGGTGGCATGAATAAAGAGACAGTATTGAGGCTTTGCATGGCCAGTGGTCAGTTATTTTTATGCCTTCGTAGACGTGCTAGCAAAAATATCGTGCGCAAATTTCTTAAGTTGTGGCTAAGTTAATGAACTGCTTCCGCTCTCTTAAATTGACGGCTGTATCAAATTGTGTGAATCTAATAAAATCGTTTTTGTTAGAGGAGATTGTGGGTGCGAGGGGGGTGGGGGTTACATGTCGTCGCAGGTGGCATGAATAAAGAGACAGTATTGAGGCTTTTTAAGTGTCTTTATTATTGTCCATGTTTTTATAAAACGTCTCTGACAATTCAAATTACTGGGCGTAAAAAAAGCAGGTTTTTGTATTATTTTCTTTACCTATGACACAAGTGACAATCTATTACAAGCACGTTAATTAAAACTGATCATGAATGATTTTGTTAAAATGATTCGCCCATTTCGTGCCGCCAATACAAACTCGTGAAATTTGGCTTTCTATTTCTATTAAAAAAAAAGTAAACATTTTTTT